AAATGCCAGATATATGAACAAAAAAAATTCTCAAAAAGACACATATTATGGGGCACATGGAGTATTATTTATTTTTTTCCCCCTAATTAATACATATATTCATCATATATATATATATATATATATATATATATATATATAGAGAGGAGTATATGTTGTTGCTTGGACAGCACTCTTTGCAAAATGTGGAGTATGCTTTACTTCACCTCTTTTTTTTACCACATGAACTCATGTATACATTGGCCTTTCACTGACACTCGAAATCGAAGAAGATTATTTGATTCTTCTATAAGTTATATATATATGCATGTATATATGTATATATGGTTAATGGTTGCCCTCCGCAGTTTCAGACATATACATATTGTCTATATATATACCTGTTGTGTTTTTCTTTAACCACGTGGTCTACTAAAGTCTGTATTTAACCCAATATATATTATTCTTAACCCACACTCTCTATAATATTCTTACCCACACCCTAGTTTAATTTGTTTTGGCATGGTTAGCTGTAAAGTTATGTATTCCGCGTGATATATATATATATATATATATATATATATATATATATATATATATATATATATATATATATATATATATATAACAATTAATTTATATAAAAATAACGTTAATTGGGTGGATATATAAAGAATTCGAAAAAAGTGGATAAAAGGGTACAATTAATATATATTGGAATATGGATAACGAGTTTAGCTATCTGCTATAGATGGTCCCAAACACCAGATTGGATCTGCCTCTATATATACTATTTTTCTTCTCCCCTTTTTTTTTTCTCTTAATTATTATTATTTTATTTATAATAATTTATTGAATAAATGATATATTCCATTTGGATATTGAATGTGAACCAGAAAAAAAGTTTAGAAACCACGTTTCTTTGATTTACTTTGACGATATAGGCCAGAGTAGAACCCACAATAGGATTTAGGCCCATTTAGATAATATATTCTCTACACAGTTTGCTTTCGGGCCAATTGGAGTGGGACGAAAGTTGTACCATTCCAAAATTTAATATCAAATTATTAATTTATTAATTTAATCTTTCATTAGGAATACTATTTAGTTTGGAGCACGAGGCTAGTTATTTGTTTTAGATCCACATTAACCTTTAATTTCTGGTTGCAATAGGGATATACCAGGATTTTATTATCTTTAAATACGTATGTTTTGTTTTAGGATTTCATTCAACATAAAAAAATATGAGATTAAATTCTGAGCGGATCAGCCGATATTTAATATAAATCAGATTTCACTATTTTTTTGACATGTGGCACTCTTAAGTTTTAACTCTTAGGGCTCGTTCGGTTACCTATATATATTGGATTAAATTGAATTAGATAAGATTCGATTAACTCCCTACTCGCTAATTAATTATTTAGTTAGTAGTATGTTCGGATCCTTAGATTAGATCTTCTATTAAATTCGTTAAATTTAGTATTTATATATGAATTGTCTATAAAACCACTTAGTTTAAAATAATACGATATGATTTAAAGGATAAATTGTCTTTTTAATTCCTTTTTAATCACCCCCTATTAAATTAATCTCTGGGGGAGGGTGCTACTAATTTAATGCAATAGTAGCATCTAATAGCGGGCTTTGATTTTAGTAGCGGGTTTGAAAATAGTGTGAATCTTGTCAACCGGACGTGCTACTAATCCCTACTATTTAGTCAGTAGCACCTTATAGCAGTAACCGAACGAGCCCTTAATAAATCACGCTGGTTATAATAAATTCTGCTGGGGTTTTCTTTTTCCTATTTTTTTTTCAATTATTAGAATCCTAATTATATTTTTATTTAAACTATTCACTTGTCAATCATACTATGGCATCCGATTTCCCTATTAAAATAGACCATCCGATCTAAATTTGCACCAAAAAAATATATGCACTACAACAATTTAGGCTTTATACGACACTTTTTTTACCTGATTGTTCAATAACCGTCGTATAAAAAGGATTTTTGACGCTTTTTTAATCAATTTTGACACTTAAAAACCGTCGTGTAAGAGAATATTGTTGACGTTTTTTAAACCAATTATGACTTATAAAAACCGTCAGAATAGAAAGTCTAATTTAAATATTTAATTAACTAATATTAAATATGAACCAGATTTAAGTTAATAAAAATAGTGTCTCTCATTTTTTTTCTCTTAATACTCTCTCTCCCGTCGTTTAGAAATGCTAGGGCTTTTCTTCGATCCTGCTACGCCACCGCCACCGCCACCGCCACCGCAACCGGCTCCGTCACCCTCACCATCACCGGCACCACCATCGTTACGACCACCGGTCCGCCTCCGCCGTGACATTGACGTTTTACATTGCTAATTAGGTTTTAAGTTTCTCGTCTTAATTTCTTTTCAAATTCGAGTTTAGTCGCGATTTGATTGTCAAATTTGTATCCATCCGACTTCACCAGACACTGAATTTTCTCAATCGCGATTTGATATCCGATTCTAGGTGAACACTTTTCTCCTTCCATCTTCAATTTATGTTTTGGTTAATTTCCAGTAATCCAAGTTTTGTGAATAAATGAGTTTGAAGTAAACTTCAATTAGGTCACTTTTCACTGAACATTTAAGCTCCTCGCAACTTAATCCTTGCAAATCCAATGAGTGCGCTGCTTGTAGAATGTATGAATGTATGAAGCATTCTTTTGATACTTGGGTAATTGAAAATGTGATAGCTAGCTGGTTGGGTTTCAGAGAAAATGACAAAATTATGAAATGTGGAACTGAATGACTTAGTTTTAGCCTCTCTTTTCTTGTCTTTGTTGTTTGTTATCCTTATTGCTAGAATTTAATTTCCCAAACAGTTTTTGGGGATTGGAGATAATGTAGAATCACTAATCAGCTAGTGGTATACTTTTCAGTTATCTTTATTCCATTTTTATTTTAATGGAGTTTTTTTTTTCTTCTTAAAATGCCTCGGTTGGGAGATTTCACCTGGCTCTCTTTTCAGGTTATTGACACCAACTTAGATTATTGGAAACTGGGTCCTCTCGGGTATACTTTGGTTATATTCCATCCGTTTCTTCTCCTTTTTGTGTTTGTGCGAAGTGTTTGAGTTAGTTCCCTTGCTCTACCTTTTATATCTCTCTCACTGACTAATGTCCCTGCAAAAGCATCACGAAGGGCTGAATATGGAAGGTTACCTAGTATTCTCTTGCTTTACCCACTAGGGAATTGGCCACACATGTACAATGTCTTTTTTATTTATTGTTAATGCCCATATTTTATTTATTAGTGCCTAAGTTAAACTGCTTATTTGTTGGTTACTAATTTTATCATTGAAATTTGAAGGTAAGGTAGATTATGTTAGTAAAGTTCCAATACTTCTTGTCCGTGCCACTTTGTCAGTCTGCATTTTAAAAAGTAATGTGGTATCCTTTTCATGGAGTATTTTGTGTGGTCTAATTGCAGGGACATCCTTTATTTTTTCTCTGAATAAGACATGACTCGTAATGCGAGATGTCTGCTACAGTTGTTCCTTTGTCATTTGCCAAACCCCTGTCTTGCCTTCTCATATTGTTGCTAACTCGCTCTTTTCGACTGTTATTTTCACATACATGATGCAACTAAAACATCTGTGAAGAAGACTAGTTGAATAATGCAGCACGGATTGGCATCAAATTGTAAAATTGCTATTTCATGCTACCTATATTTTAGTAGGATGCATATTATAGATTGTGTTAAGCTCAAAACTAGCATTTTATTTTCCACGTGTTGAGCCTAATCAGTTGCAAAGATACAAACTTTCTTCTATCGCAGTTAATTTCATGTTTCTCAAAAAGATTTGAAAACCGTTTGCAGGGGTACGCAACTTAAGGAGGCACTACAACTGCAACTAGACGTTCAAAAGGAGTCTTTATGAGCAACTAGAGGTAGCTCTACTATTTACTAACTAATTGAACTAGACAATCATTTTTCCCCTGCTCGTGCTTTAGATGGTACTGAAAATACTAAAAAGACTTATTATTGCCTAATGGTCTGTTTCCCTTTGGCTTTTGTAGGTTATTCATTGTAGCTGAGGTGGACGATAAAATTTTATCATACTTCCAGGTTTATTTCTTGTTCTTCTATGGTACACATACTTGGTTTTCGTGAAGAAGGTTAATGCCTTAGTGTTACCATTGGATAGACTATTCTCCTCATAGTATGCAAGTGTCACCATGTAACCACCCTTGAATCAGTAATACTGAGTTAGATATTACTGAGATTGTATAGCTGCACTTAAGCTTTTCTGACCATTTAAGTCTAAGATTTGTATATAGGCTACTGTTGTCCATAAAGGACAGATATCAGTCATAACTACCATGGGTTCTAATGATGTGTGCATTGGCAGGTATCAGTATTGCTTTCAACCCAGTTTCCAGTTCTGTTTTTGTTCTCACAGGGTTATGAACCATGGAAAATGCATACAATAGAGAATGCCTTTCAGGTAAAAAAAAAATCAATTTTTTTTTAACTGATTTTATTATATTCTTGATTTGAAATTTTTATTGACGTACTTGCAGGATAATTTCCATCAGTTTCGTATATTTGATTACTTTAGTACTATTTTTTCTAAGTTTGTCTTGAGCATTAACTATGAACTTTGTACTACAGGAGAATCCAGCTGTAGTTGCTGATAAACTTTCATATTCAAATAATTCTCTGAGTAAGGTCTTGATTGGATGATTCAAGAATTCTGGCCTTGCATAGACTTTAGAAGTGAATGTAAATTCAGATGTATAGACTTTAGAAGTGAATGTAAGTGTCGTTTTAAACATAAATTTCATGAAGTTTGGTTTTATATACTTTTGGAAAACAAGAATTCATGTATTTGGGGAATCCTAGTGATTTTTGGCATCTGTATATGTTCGTGTTGGGAAATTATAATAATTTTTGGCATGCAGCTACATTTTTTAATAGTTTTCAGTACTAATTCGAAGAAAATATTGAAAAATATATACCAGTATTCATGACGGTTTTCAACTGTCAAGAAATGTATTCTTGACGGTTTTCAAAATATGCATGAGTATTTACGACGGTTCTCAAAGCGTCGAGAAACATTATTCCCGACGGTTTTTTTACACGTGGAAGTATATACGACGGCCTTTTTCTTGACGGTTTCGTGACGGTTGAAAACCGTCAAGAATAATGCTCCCGACGGTTTTTCTACTTTTCCCGATGGTTTTTTTCCATCGCATAAAGCCATAAATGTTGTAGTGATGTAACATTTAAAAACAATAATAGATTCTCCATGTAGTACCGGAAATGAGATGCTACATACAACGGGTGTAATCTAATCTACAATTAATAAACACCCAATATATATAATTAATCAGGTGTAACATCTAACTGAGCGTTGACTTTTAAGTAACGGAAACTCTTTTGACACCAAACTTAACTTCAACAAAATGTATATGCATGCATGCAGTCAACACTTATAAACCAAAACTAAGTTCTTTCATACATGCATAATAATCCATCACACAATTCTTGCAAAATTTCCTTCAACGGCACACATGCATAATTATTTTATATATATATATTTAATTTATTTATTTCAAACAATCTAGTACGCACTATATAAATTAAAGTGAATCTAATTTCCTCAATACAACACACTGCACAAGAAAATCAAAACGAAGCAAAAATGGAATATTCCTCCAAACTAATTTTCATCTTCCAAGTAACCCTAATCATCTTTTCCACATCATCATCATCTGCCGCCGCCTATGCTGCACGGACACGGATACGTGGATACGGCGATACGCGGATACGGACACGGTGATACGGCATTTCCAAAAAACTAGGATACGGACACGCGGGGGATACGCGTAAATATAAAAAATATAGGGGTATATTTATAAATAATAAAAATATAGGTGTACATTTATAAATTGTAAAAAATATGTATAAGTCGTCATCGCATAAGAGAACCGCTCGCCCTTGTTGCTCGTGTTCTTGGTCACCGTCGCATGCTAATTCTTCGGAGGACATGTGTAACACAGAGAAAATAAAATGCGCAATTTTTTTATTAGGACTCTCCCTTAAAATGTAAGAGAAGTGTCCCTGACTTTTTTAAAATTATGGACACTGCCCGACACGGGTGTCCTACTCTTAGCGAAACTACGACACGGCCCGACACGGGTGTCCGAGAAGTATCCGGGTGTGTCCGAGTGTCCAGGTGTCGGATACGGGGACTCTTCACCTTCTAGAAGTGTCCGTGCAGCATAGGCCGCCGCCGCCAACTCCAACCTCTTCCGCGATTACATCGGAGCGGAATTCAATGGCGTCAAATTCTCCGACCTCCCGATAAACCAAAATGTCGAATTCCACTTCATCCTCTCCTTCGCCATCGACTACACCACCACCACCACAACCTCCACCCCGACAAACGGCAACTTCAACGTATTCTGGGACACGGACAACCTCACCCCACCGCAAGTCTCCGCCATCAAATCCCGAAACCCTAACGTCAAAGTCGCACTCAGCCTAGGCGGCGACACGGCGGCCGATGGCCACCCGGCCTACTTCAACCCTACCTCCGTCGAGTCCTGGCTTCCCAACGCCGTCGCCTCCCTAACAAAAATCATCCGCGAATACAACCTCGATGGAATCGATATCGACTACGAGCACTTCAAATCGACCCCCGAAGTTTTCGCGGAGTGCATCGGGAGGCTGGTCTCGACGCTGAAGAACAACGGGGTGATTTCTTTCGCCTCGATTGCTCCGTTCGACGACGAACATGTGCAGAACCACTACGCGGCGCGTGATCGACTACGTGAATTTCCAGTTCTACGCTTACGATGAAGGGATTAGTGTGGAGAAATTCTTGGGGTATTTTGCAGAGCAGAGTTTGAATTACGGTGGAGGGAAGGTGTTGGTTAGTTTTATCAGTGATGGGAGTGGGGGTTTGGGCCCCCGTGACGGATTCTTCACGGCGTGTAGTAGGTTGAAGAGTGAGGGGAATCTTCATGGAATCTTTGTTTGGTCAGCGGATGATTCTTTGGGGTTAGGGTTTGAGTACGAGAAGATATCTCAGTCTCTACTTGCGATTTCTCACTAGTTTACTGTACTGTGTGTCTGTGTGTGTGTGTGTGTATGTATATGTATATGTATATGTGTCTGCCTCGATCATCTTCTGTAGATGAATTTGCATGTATTTGTGGAAGTGCTTTAAATTAATCTTAATGAAAATTATATATTTTTAATTTATTTTTATTTTTTATACTATCTGTCACTAATAATAATTATTATTGTCAGATTGAAGATGGTAATTAGAAAGAAAAAATATTAATATTGGCTTATTGGGCCTTCGTCTAATGGGCCGAACTCACGCATCCAAATACCAATACATAATGCTCACACATCTTAGGCCTTGGCCCAATAAATTTAATTAAATAAATTTCGAGTTTTGCCAATGAAAATCATTAATTATTAGGCCTTGGCCCAATAAATTTAATTAAATAAGTCTTTCATATATAATATACCTAATAATCCATCACAACATTCTTGCAAAATTTCCTTCAAAGGCAACGGATATATAAAAGGCTTGAAAATAAAACAGTAAAAGTCATTAAATTACATTTGCATCCATATTCCTAATCTTATGAAATACACAACGTCATTAAAATTTTAATATTAATTTACACATAGTAATACATATACCCATGGGCGGGCATACGTGCTTAGTAGATAGTTATTTATGTAGATCTACGGTTTAAAAACTAAACGTTGTATTTCACTAGGTGTAGGATCTCATAAGTTTTAATTATGTTTCCAGTCCCAATAAAAATTTCAATTTCAATTTTGGCCCTGGAATATTGTTTTCCGTTACTTGCTAACGGGCATGTGACGTCAGGGAAGAAAGTGTTTAAAATTGAACCTTGAAGGTGACTTTAAAACAGCGGGGGCCAAAAGTCTAATCAAGCCAAACATAAGGGACTAAAAGTGTAATTCTCCCAAATAAGTG